TTTGTCATAAGAAGGTTTCTTAACATTCTTTATGTGCTTTTTGTTAGCAAGTATAATAAACATGTGATTCGAACGGTCCGTTCTGGTCCATTGGATCTTGGTTTAGAACTGTTTACCTTTCCTTCCCTCCATTCCTATGGGTTCTATGTTCAAACCTCACGAAACCCTCTTCCTTCCCTCCAATCAACCTGTAAATAATTATAATATGTAAAAAAAAAAAAAAAAAGAAGCACGTGATTCATTTTGAGTTTTTAATTTTAAATGTCCAGCAAAAAGTGACTCTGGCAGTTAATTCGAAATGATTGTTTGCTGTTCTCTTTTTTTTTTTTCTTCCCCAAAAGAAAATATTGCAAGTGATAGGACTTTTATTCATAGCTTCATTCTTTGTATTTCTAGGCCATTTGTTGGTGCCTCCTTTTTTATGCTTATGAACATCTTATCTTCTTTCAGGATTGCTATCTGGTATATATTTTGACTGAGATGTCTGGGTGTACATCAATGGTTTTCACTCGAACATGTGATGCGACTCGCCTTCTGGCTTTGATTCTTCGGAATCTTAATATTAGAGCCATCCCCATTAGTGGCCAAATGACTCAGGTATGTTACACAAATTCTGATTTTTTAAGCAGATCTGAAGCCTATTCTCTTCCTTCCCACCATCCTTTTTATACTGCCTTAAAATATATTTGCTATTCATTAACGGAACATAATTGACAGTCAAAGAGACTTGGAGCCTTAAATAAGTTCAAGTCTGGGGAATGTAATGTTCTTGTCTGCACTGATGTGGCAGGTAGAGGACTTGAAATTCCATCTGTGGATATGGTTATTAATTATGATATCCCTACAAACTCCATGGTAAGGCATAAGGCTTTCTCTATCTTATTTTATTTTATTAGCTGTTATTTTAAATTATTTGAGCCATTCATGCATTTCTGCTAAGCATTTAGCTAAGATGAGCCTTAAATACAATATGTCCATTAGAGTATGCAAATATTTTTGGTTCTTTGGCTTAATCCACTGTCTCTCTTGCACTGACTCCAAATGGGTAACACGATATTATATTCATCGAGTAGGAAGAACTGCTAGTGCAGGGCGATCAGGTGTTGCAATATCACTCGTAAATCAGTATAAGCTGGAGTGGTATATACAGATAGAGAAGCTCATTGGTATGTCATTCATGCTATATTTGCTTCAGGGTTGCACAGAAGTATTTTGCAAGATGCTTACATATCTAATTATATTCCAGGAAAAAAGTTACCCGAGTATCCTGCACAAGAAGAGGAAGTGCTGTTTTTACTTGAAAGCGTTACAGAAGCCAAAAGTTTATCACAGATGGTATTTCCTAATTTGAGTAAACTTTAGCTTTATTTAATTTGGGTTTTATATTTTATGAAAAGCTGAGACTGACAGCTATGAAACATATGCAGAGAATGAAGGAAAGTGGAGGCAAGAAGAGGAGAAAGGGTGGAGGTGATGATGAGGAAGATGAGGAGAGATATTTAGGTGTCAAGGCTAAGAAGTTCACAAAGAAGATGAAGACAAAATGACATAAATTGTTGTCACTGCAAATTTTGTGTTACATATTTCTGTAATATCTAATTTGTTATTGCCCGTGGAATCCTGTTGTAGAGTCAGCCAGGATCAACATTACCTTCCATCTAGTTATTTTCTTATTGTTGGATTATCCTTTGGATTCTGGGTACAGCGTAAACGATCTTGCTTCCATATTCTACATTTCTACTTATTCTCGGCTAGGAAGAAGTGCTAATTTCACTAGTACTTAAATGATTTACCAAACCGAATAAAAGAAAGAAAGAAAAAAAAACCTACTTCATAAATATGATTCAAAAGCATTGGTAGAGTTATTGTAACACTTTTTTTTTTTTTTTTATTTTGTTAATGTCATATCTTTTTAATTGCTTTCACCATTTTATTGCTAATTGACTCTAAATTGAGAAACGGTTTCCTCGTTCCCTTCTTCCTAAGTACTATTTCTTTTCTCTCTGTTTTTGTT